GCGATATATAACAAAAATAATAGGAAAACATATACACGGCAACAGCTGGGCATTCTGTTGTCGCTGTCTAAATATTGCGGGCACATTTCTTTAACAAACATTTTGATTCTTCGAACGCTGAAAATATGCATTGTGAGAGGATTTGTTGTTCTCTTTTACTGGTTTGTTCATGGAAAATAAAGTGTTTCTTGAAAGATTAAGTTGTAGTGCTTGTACGCAACGACAATAACGACTTAATCGCATGAAAACGTGCGAAGAATTTTTAATTACAAATGGGCGACAAGTGGAAATGTTTCACTCATTGTAAGAGTTTCAGAAGCAGGGTACAGCAGTATGGAAACAAAGAAGTGTTCATATTTTACTCTTGGTAGAAGCTGAGTTGTTGTTGTTTCCACAGGTATGTTCAATAATTTGTTTGTCCTTCCTCATCTGGAATAATAAGTGCTTAAAATACATATTTTGATGAAAATGACACATATTCCTCTTGCAATTTCGTAAAAACTGGCAGTTGCCTTTAGTTATAAAATATATTTTATGAAAGTTAAATCATACTTTGTTTTATTAAAACCTGAGCTATTCATGGAAAAAATGTGCTAAATGTGGTAATTGACAAATCCACTTGTGAAGTGAAAATGTCATCTTGTCACATGCTTATGAAATTGCCCCTGTATTGGTTTGTTATAAAGTAAAAATTGCAGCAAAAATGATTTTGAAAATGTTCAGGTATTGGTTGTTATGAGATAAGAAATGCCGCATTGATTTGTCCAGTTTTAAGAGTCCAATGGCAATCCTGAATATAGGCATGCTTGCTTTGTGAAATTCTGTGGTGATATGGCATCTAAATAAAAATATCTTAAAATTTTGCCCATTGCCTCTCTCCGAAATATGGCTTAAAACTATCCTTATTAGTCAATCTTCATGGAAAAGTTATTGGGTTTGCTGGGAAAAATGCGCGCGGCACTTTTTTTGGACACTGAAGATGGTAACATTTGGTGTTGTCATATATTGCCATCCTCTTATCATAGCATAACTTAACTTTTAGTGAGTTTGTTAAAAAATTGTGCTCACTATATGCCTGTACTATCTAAGATTTTTTCATAGCATTATATGACAAATTTAAGTTCTGTTTTCTTTTATTTTTAGGTGATAGTATCTGTTCACTTGAGTGTTGGCATTAAATTTTGGACAAGTTTCAATTATTATTTCACATTCCTTTATTCAAATATGCAAATAAATGGAATATGACATCAAGCTGGGGGACTTGATTCTATTTCCAAACTTGTTTTTGTAAAAATAGAAAATAACAACTTATTCTGTGTTATAAAGTTTGTTCGTTCACTGCAACCAGGTATATCAATCATGTTTCGCTCGCTACTTTGGTTTAAATAAATGATTACAAAGCCCAGTCGAATTGTAACGTTGGGTCTTGATTCGAAACGTTGGGTCTTGATTACAATTCGACTGGGCTTTGTAATCATTTATTTAAACCAGAGTAGCGAGCGAAACATGATTATTCTGTGTTGTTCTAATAAAAACTATTGTTTTTGATATGCATATTTATTTTTTAAAATTACAGTCATTCTTTGCTAAAATGTGTACCAGGAATACTGAAATCTTTCAGATCAGCTACCAATTCCCTTTATAACTTATGTAGCCAAGTGTTCTATCTATTTCTGTGCAGATTAAACAAATGATGGGTAAAATATTAGTTTAGATTCTTTAAAAAAAAATGAGCTTATCTATTTTCAAAGCATAAAAAGCAATAAAATAAAGGAAAAGTACTTATTTTTAATTTAAAACCTTTGGATTGCATAGCTTAATGTTTTCCACTAAATATTACAAAGTTTTCGTTCATTAAAATGTTGTTTTATCAGCTTTAAAACCAGATAAATCCACGAAGCACTCCTAATATATGTCGCTATATTGATTTTTTCGCGCATGCTCCGTACAAAATGTCCAGCTGTTTTCATTTCTTATTCTATGGTTTGAAGCCCACGTCAGCTATTATACGCAATACTAACGGATTTTTTCTAAATTTGTAATTGTTTTTAAAGTTTTATATCTTTAGCACAGAATACTACACAGAAGTTCATCTCCATTGTTTTTAGCGTAAGCTCTATTCGTCATGATTCGTCACTCAGCAAGTACCGTAAACAGAAGCAGTCCCCTCCTGGAAATACTAGAAATGGCGTATGTCCACGATGGTGACTGCTTCTGTTTACGGTACTTGCTGAGTGACGAATCATGACGAATAGAGCTTACGCTAAAAACAATGGAGATGGACTTCTCTGTAGTATTCTGTGTCTTTAGTTACTTTTAAGCTGAAGATGGAGTTATACTCCGAAACGTAGTTATTAAAATAATCTTTTTGTACTAAATATAAGCCTATATGGTCTAATTATTCAAACACAGGATAAAACTATACATATATGAAATATACATACCTAAAGATTGATCTAAAAATAGATTATTTGAAGTATTTGGCATGAAAAACTTTCTTACTTTAAATTTACTTGTAAAAATGAATTGTAAAATGCATCAAAACATTACTAACTCTTTGCAGCCACCATCTTGGGTTTTCATTATGTCTAAGCGATCGCTGATTGGCTTATAAGCTAACACACAAACCACTTGTAAAATGTATAGCTGAGGAGCATAGACGAAAGGGCCAGGGTACAAGGTTGGTACAGTGAACTCTACTATATACTGGAACGATAACTGCGGCTCCGTAATTGAAGCCAAGATGGCGGAAATTGAAGCTCGTCTTGTAGGTATGATCCAGGCCCCTACGCGGAAATTTACTAAATTCCGTATGAAAAATGTTCATCAATTTATGGGAAAGCTTAATAACTTTTCAGCCAACTGTTTGAAAGTCAAGCTTTTCTATGCCTCCAGTAAACTAGAGAAAGTGGTCTTTCAGAAGAAGTAAATTTTAGAAACATTTTGTCATTTTATCTCAACTTATTTGATGAGTGAAAAACAAGTTAGAAACACTGCCGCCAAGAAACATCGGCAAACTTTTGTGTTTTCAGGACTTTCGGTGAGGAATTTGAAAAGAACACAGCGAATATGGGCTAAAGTTACATCAATCTTACTTTTTCACTTATTTTTTTACCATTTAGGTAGGCTAAGTATCACTAAAAATGAGTATTTTCGTGCAAAAACAGAAACACATCTTTCAACAAATTCTCCCCAGTCCTTTTCCACCTGTCCGAATACAATTTTTTTCTGAAATATTAAGAAAAAAATCATTTTCTAAAGTAAAAAACAAAAGCTATCTCCATCAGAAGAAAATAATAACATGAAAATTAACTGTACAATTCACAAGTGCAAAATAATGAATATTACAGAGGTAACAAAGAAAATAAGCCAAAAATTTAATTTCACAGGCAAGTGTTTATTTTTGCAAAAATGTATTAATCAAGCCTTACTGCAATAATTGTATTTATACACATTACATACCGACAGCATTTGACCATACCAGGCATACAATACACATATATATATATTTACAGTAAAACTATGTACAGTCATACTACACAAACTGTAAGTACTCAATGACCACTTCCACAATTGGCCTGAATGCCCATTAACAACAGTTCTACTGTATATCACAAGTGGCAATTGTTCCTTACAAGGCTCTTGTAAAGGTCACAAAGAAACAAATTGTGAAATTAACCCAATGAGTCGCATTGCGCCCTGATGCGCATTACTTTATTATTTCACTCCGTCTAACGCCAGATGATTTTACTCATCAAGGGGATAGCGCAGGCGCTTAATGGGTTAACTAGCCTATCTGCCCATGTGTCTAGTTAACCCATTGAGTCGAATTGCACCCTATTTTATTAATTTACTCTGCCTAACATCAGACTCTTTCTAACGTTGGACTCAAAAGGATCCGCATTCTTGGCAACAAATTTTATTAAGTTCCTAAGGGGGAACAATCCAGCTGCATCAGAATATCGCCAAAGGAAGAGAGGGGAGGATTTTCAAGGTCGCCGGACATATCAGAATCATTCACTAGAGGACCTACTGAGACTCCTATTACTCGCTCAGAGGACCGAGTATTAAGTAATGATTATAATCGGTGTGACCCTTCGACAGGTAAAATAGATGAATCTAATAATATATTTTCTGATTTAGATTGTTCTAAAGGCCTAAAAATGGCAAATTTAAATATTAATAGTCTTTTAAAAAGTATCGACCAGCTCCGTATCATTATGCAAAATAGCTCTATTGACATTCTGGCGATTAATGAAACAAAAATTGACCATTCAGTGTCTGATGATGAAATTAGCATACCTGGATATTATCATATCCGTAAAGATAGAAATAGGTGTGGTGGGGGAGTGTTATTATATGTGCGAGAATCTTTACCATTTTCTGAACGAAATGACTTATTTATATCTGATTCGTTAGAAATGCTATGCATTGAAATTACGAAACCACGTAATAAGTCATTTCTAATAGTTACATGGTATAGACCGCCAAATTCTGAGGTTAGTCTCTTTAATGAATACGAGACTTTTCTTAGAAAATGCGACTTGGAAAATATTGAAGTAATAATAATGGGGGATCTGAATTGTGATACCATAAAATGTCCTCACGAAGCTCACACACGCAGACTATAATTTCTATCCTCACTTTACCAGTATAGACAACTTATTAATGAACCTACAAGGGTAACAAGAACATCAGCAACCTTAATAGACTTGATATTGACAAACAAAGAGGAAAATATTTCGAAATCTGGTGTTATTCATCTTGGAATATCTGATCATAGTTTGGTTTTTGTCGTTAGAAAATATTGTGTCACTAACTCTCGGCAAAAGACAAGATATGTTCGCAATTTCAAAAGATTCAATGCCAATAACTTTCTTAATGATCTTTCCCAGATGCCCTGGGAAAATGTGGCGCTTTATGATAACCCAAATGTTTGTTGGCGGGTATGGAGATCCCTTTTCCTACACGTCCTTGATTGGCATGCGCCCCTAAGACTGATGAGACTTAGAGGAAATTCTAATCCTTGGATTTCCCCTGATATCAAAAATCTGATGAGGGTTAGTGACTCTTACAAGAAAAAGGCTGTTAAAAATAATTCCCAGATTCACTGGGAGAAATTCAAAGAAATACGTAACAAAGTCAATTCAGAACTAACTAAAGCTAAAACAGCGTGTTTCTGTAACAAATTTGAGAACTGCGCACAATCGAAAGATATGAAACATAGTTGGAAGTTAATTAATATTCTCTTAGGTAAAAATAAAAAATCAAATAATATCTCTCAACTTAAATGTGATGATGTTGTGATTTCAGATGATACTCTGAAAGCTGAGGCGTTTAATGACTTCTTTGTTAACATCGGGGTAAATTTGGCTAATGAAATTGAGAACGATTCTCTATGTACGAACTTTCCAGATGATGAAAATTACCACTCTAACTATTACTCTAATATAAATTTTAAGTTTTCTGAAATTGGTATGGATGATATTATTTGTCAATTACGTAATCTTAAAATTTCAAAGTCTACCGGTATTGATAACATCCCTGCTATAGCTCTTAAATTGTCCGCGGAAGTTATTGGTCCTTCATTAACATGGATTTATAATCTTTCAATCGAAACTGGGATATATGTTGATGAATGGAAAAAGGCGTGGGTAATGCCAATTTTTAAATCTGATGATAGAAAAAGATGTGAAAATTACCGACTGATATCTATATTGCCTATTGTCAGTAAAATACTAGAGAGATCGGTTTTCAACCAGATTTATAAGTTTTTGAATGATAATTCGCTGCTATCTAAACATCAATCTGGCTTTCGGCCTAAGCATTCAACTTTAACAACACTCATTCAAATGTGTGACACACTTTATGAGAACATGGATAATGGTCAGCTGAGTGGTGTTGTTTTCCTTGATATTAGAAAAGCTTTTGATTCTATTGACCATACAATCTTATTGCAAAAGATGAATGATCAATTTGGAATAAAAAATGTGGAACTGGATTGGTTTAAGTCCTATCTAACTAATAGAGAGCAAGCATGCATTGTCAACGGTGCAATGTCATCACCTAAAACGATTGTGTGCGGAGTTCCGCAGGGATCAATTCTTGGTCTCTTGCTGTTTTTATTATATATTAATGATTTACCCGAATGCCTCGAAAAAACTTCGCCACACCTATACGCTGATGATACTCAAATTTCTACTTCTGCTAAAACTATTGAGGAACTTACAGAAAATCTAAATAATGACCTGAAAAAAGTCGGTGAGTGGCTTGCTCGAAATAAACTGCAACACCACCCAACTAAGACCAAATTAATGTATATCGGTTCAAAGTATAATACTGATACTATGACTTATGATATTCCAGTAATGATGAATAACCAATTCATAACTTGCTCATTCATACACATGCCTTGGGGTTAAACTTGATGAATACCTTAATTGGCATGAGCATGTTGAAATGATTTGTAAGAAAGTTGGGGCCGGCATAGGAGCAATGCAACGAATTAAGCCATATGTTCCTATAAATACCCTGCATACCATTTACAGAGCTTTGATAGAACCGTATTTTGATTATTGTAGTCCATTATGGGACGTCTGTAATCAACAGCTGAAAGATAAGCTTCAAAAGTTCCAAAACCGTGCAGCGAGAATTATAACCGGCGCCAGCTATGAAATAAGGTCTGCTGATGTTCTTCGATCCCTTGCTTGGGAAAATTTAGAGATAAGACAACTTACAACTAAATCCACATTAATGTATAAAGTCCTGAATGATTGCGCTGGGCCGAACTTGAAGGATGCTCTAACGAGAAGGGACCTTGTTCAAACCAGTTATAATCTTCGCAATACTTATACTGACCTTACCCTTGCTAAGCCAAAACGAGAATTTCTAAAAAGAAGCTTTAAGTATAGCGGAGCTAAATTGTGGAATAGTCTTCCTTCTGATGCGAAGCTAGCGCAATCAATTTATTCTTTTAAAAACTGCCTGAAAGTTTCACGCTAACATCTTCTAATATACTGTATATGCATGCTTTAGAAATATGGGTCACACCGTTCGGAACTTAATTCTTGTATTGTAAATAGTTGTATATAATTCTTTATTCTTTTCTATATCATATTTGTAATTTTTAATAGTAACAGACGTCCCTCGTGAAAATCAACAAATCGTTGACGAGGCTAACGTCTTTAAATAAAGTTTACATACATACATACATACATACATACGTTACGCCACACGTTACGTTTGAGTTTATATAGAATATTAATGAAAATCGACACGTTACACACGTTACGCCCCATTCTTATAAAGGTAGAATAGGTCTACCTTTAATATATTAGGCGTAACGTGTGTAACGTGTCAGCTTGCTATAGATTCTTATATAGTGAAAGGCGTAACGTGTGGCGTAACGTGTGCGTAACGTGTTGAAATTGAGTTCTATTTAGTTTGTATGCATGTATAAGGTCTTCAAAATAATTTTCACGTAGGCTATTAGTCGTTGAGTTTTCGCATAGTACTTTTATTGAATATGCATGCTAGAAGTGTGTACTTAATATATTCGTCACTATTAAGCATCTAAAACAGTTATTGAAGTCAAAAGGCACTGCCAATATAAACGGTATAAATAGGGAAAAACATTGTAATATAGAAACACTTAATAAATTTAATACTTTAATCGTTCTCCTCGTTTCTCACTGATCATTGCAACACGCTTGTTCATCGATATAATAATTCAGTTCATAGTACTTTTTGACAAATTCATCGTCGTGCTTTTAATTAACTCATTCGGAAAATTGTTCAAACTTTTCTGACGTGACCTGCTTGTCAATGGCATCTTGTCCTAACTGTACGTTTTGATACTCAAGCGGGACGCGTTCAATTTATGAACTACTTACGGTCATTTATGACGTCACGATGACGTCATTGTGACGTCACAATTCTACACACTGTAGGTAAAATCCTTAGGCACACATGAAACACATAGTCACAGCAAGCAAAGGCTGTTATGCTTCTTATTTACGGCAAAGCGAAATAACCGTATTAAAATTATCATTACTCGACACTACATAGACTGTCTTAGCAGAGGCCTCATTGTGTTCACAAACTTAATTAAATTTCTGCCAAAAATTGAACTTAACGCAGTCTCGGGCAAAATTTTCATTTTTCGCGCTTTAAGCCCAGTGATCTAGTTTTCTTGCGAAACTGGCACAAAAATGGACTCAAAAGACGCAGAATGGGGGACTGGGTACGAGTAAACAACCGTTTTGAACTGCTTATTGGATCCTCTATGTCTCCTGTTCTAACTTTTCAATCTGGACTCTGACATCCAGTTTTTGCAACTTTAAGCAACGCAATTTTCAACTACGGCTGAAACGGACAGATTGACGAACGCAAAACAGAAATTATCTGGTTTGTTTGGTGGAGGGTCTTTGAGTTTACCCGCAAGATTCCGCAGGCGGAGCAGAAAGACCTGTCTCTGTACCCACGCGCTGTGAATGTAAAATTGTGACGTCACAATGACGTCATAAATGACCGTGAATAGTTCATAAATTGAACGCGTCCCGCTTGAGTATCAAAACAGTTAGGACAAGATGCCATTGACAAGCAGATCACGTCAGAAAAGTTTGAACAATTTTCCGAATGAGTTAAAAGCACGACGATGAGTTTGTCTGAAAGTACTATGAACTGAATTATTATATCGATGAACAAGCGTGTTGCAATGATCAGGGAGAAACGAGGAGAACGATTAAAGTATTAAATTTATTAAGTGTTTCTATATTACAATGTTTTCCCCTATTTATACCGTTTATATTGGCAGTGCCTTTTGACTTCAATAACTGTTTTAGATGCTTAATAGTGACGAATGTATTAAGTACACACTTCTACCATGCATATTCAATAAAAGTACTATGCGAAAACTCAACGACTTATTGCCTACGTGAAAATTATTCTGAAGACCTTATGCATGCATACAAACTAAATAGAACTCAATTTCAACACGTTACGCACACGTTACGCACACGTTACGCACACGTTACTCCACACGTTACGCCTTTCACTATATAAGAATCTATAGCAAGCTGACACGTTACACACGTTACGCCTAATATATTAAAGGTAAACCTATTCTACCTTTAAAAGAATGGGGCGTAACGTGTGTAATGTGTCGGTTTTCATTAATATTCTATATAAAGTCAAGCGTAACGTGTGGCGTAACGTGTGTGCAACGTGTGCGTAACGTGTCATCTATTCTTATATATTTCATTGAGAGTAAATGTGCAATGATGGCAGCATGAAAAAAGTTCATCCAAAAACACCAGTTCGTCAAAACAGCGTGGGTACGGAGACAGGTCTTTCTGCTCCGCCTGCGGAATCTTCCGGGTAAACTCAAAGACCCTCCACCAAACAAACCAGATAATTTCTGTTTCGCGTTCGTCAATCTGTCCGTTTCTGCCGTAGTAGAAAATTGCGTTGCTTAAAGTTGCAAAAATTGGATGTCAGAGTCCAGATTGAAAAGTTAGAACAGGAGACATAGAGGATCCAATAAGCAGTTCAAAACGGTTGTTTACTCGTACCCAGTCCCCCATTCTGCGTCTTTTGAGTCCATTTTTGTGCGAGTTTCGCACGAAAACTAGATCACTGGGCTTAAAGCGCGAAAAATGAAAATTTTGGCCGAGACTGCTTTAAGTTCAAATTTTTGGCAGAAATTTAATTAAGTTTGTGAACACAATGAGGCCTCTGCTAAGACAATCGCGTGCAAAAATTCTTGAGACAAGCAGTTTATTGGCCCTCTCCCTGCTGTAACAATGCTTCTTGCCCCCCCCCCTTGTGCAATGTTGTTAAAACGATTTTGAGGTCAGGGCTTATCAAATAATATGTTTTCAACATTGTTAATGGGGGGAGGGGGGCACGCACGTGAAAAAGATCACCAAAATGTGAAGAGTCTCATTATTTTTGCACGCGATTGTAGGTCCTTTCTTAGTTTCACTCATGGTCGACGATATAAAACCTGTGAACCCGGAAGATAATTTACTGGTTAAGTTTGCCGATGATATGACCGTTAGCGCTCCCGTCAAATCAACTGGTGATTCAGCTACTGCTGAAGTCAACAATATCGACAACTGGGCGAAGAATAACAGTGGACATTATGTGAATCACGCTCGGCCAATCAGCGCGCTGCGACATCATCATCGCGGGGAGGGGGTCATATACTAGCGTATAACACCTGAATAGTTAGGCAACGATGTATGTCACAGCAATGACAGCATCATTCCTGAACACGGAACATCAAAAATTCTTAATTTGTTAAAAATTCGAAAAAAATTATGTTATATACTCTGGACTCGGTATGTAAAAATTATGTTATGTTATGTATATATTATATATACGCTCATGCCATCAAGTTATGATTATACATGTCGAAACTATTTCCGATTTTTTGTTAAGTAAAAATTGTTTATCTTTTTTCTTCTAAATGCAGAGTTTTTCCTCTAAACACAGCAGGGCTGTACACAGCGGGGCAAGGGGGGCAACTGCCCCCCCCCAGAGAAAACTATATTTACAATTATTAGAATGTCATTATTAATTATTCTTTGGATATTTGGGACTTTTTTCGGCATATAGCCCCTACTGCCCCCCTGGTGAAAAAATCCTGCGTACGGCCCTGAAACACAAATTACATCTTTTTGATCCTCCCGTATAAGAAACAGCACGTTTATTATTGACCAGGTTATGTTCAAATCTTGTTTGTTTTCTTTTAATTTCCAAATATATTTCGAAATTTCTGTATCGTTTGAGTACTTTTTGTGATTGGAAGACCATGTGGTTTCGGTATCGCTCTCTAATTTAAAGGTGATTTATAGTTGATGTCATGTCAATGTAGTGTTTTATGCTGTTTGTGTTGCTTGTTGTGACAGTTACCTTGTATACTATGTCCTTAGTCTTGCATTCCTGGAGTGGGCATGCGTTCCTACAGTTGCAACTGTCTGTGTCTTCGCTCTGTGGCAGGTTTTTCCTAATTATGCGTGCATCCCAGCTAGCCCAGTACGTAAACACAACGTTTTAAATTGGTTGTAGTTTGGTTAGGTCCGACCTAACCTTCAAATAACGTAATTAGAACGTTGTTCGTACACGACACTAATTAGAATGAATATCCTGACGTGGAAACTACGTTCTCATAACGTTATAGATTTACGGTTTCTACCAACGTCGAGAAAACGTTTTAAACACGTATGGGTCCACAGGTCGGTACGTGGCAACTACGTTCTTATTGCGTTACAGATTTACGTTTTCCGCCAACGTCGAGAAAACGTTTTAAACACGTACGGGTCCACAGGTCGGTACGTGGCAACTACGTTCTTATTGCGTTATAGATTTACGTTTTTCACCAACGTCGAGAAAACGTTTTGAACACGTAGCCAAACGTTTTGAAAAGGATTACACTTTCAGAGCAAGGTACACGTGTAATTACCGCTGTTCATACATCGACTGAGCCAAATGTGCGTAATTTATTCTATTCTCAAATTGCAATGTATTTTATTTGCGCACGTTGTTCCCTGGGCGTTTAGTTTTTTGAGGCAAAGTTTACAGAAGAAATTATTCGATTTTCATATACACGTTCGAAGGTATGTATATGTTCAACAGTAAATATATCTCTTCTAATGTAATGTATCTCTTCTTCGTGGAATGTCCATTCAAGGTTTTCTAACATTTGATTATTTCCTCTCATGTAGTCCTTCCGACAGTTTGTTGTTGACGTTCTTGCTTAAACCAGTAAATTGTGTCATACGAACGCGGAACGCCACGACTTTATAGTCCGAATGTAAGTATATATTTTGCTGTTTGGTTATATGCTTTTACTGTATTGCTGTCTTGTCAGTTGACCTTTAATATTTTCCTTTAATAAACGAGAAATTTTAAACACAATAGTAGGCTTTCATGGCATGGACACAGCATGATGGATTTTTTTCAAAAGGGCATGTCTTAAAAACCGGTAAATATTGTAGCTCATACATTGCATTACAGTAAAATGGATTCTTAATCTGAGTATTATCATATTTTAACTGCATACATTCAACATGTTTGCTGCATATTATTATAGACTCGTTTTTGATCATAAACATTCCTGTAACATGAGAACTATAGGGAAATTTGAATATATAAGGCGCTTAGTTTGAATAATTTTGTGTTTGTTTTTTCCAAGATGCTAAATAACGTACATGGCTGTTGTTATACAATCATTTATGAATTCGTTTCATTGAATCTTTTCCAACACAAATTAAAACCAATAGCGTATTGGAAAATTTGCGCGACTTTTATATTTCAGAGCACGATCGAATCCGTTGAGTCAGTGAAGTGTCTGTTTCTAACATGCAAATTGTTTGCACTTTTAGAAAACGGCTGATGCGTCTGCAGGTAAAGATGGCCAAAATAAAGAGTGACTCGAGTCTGTTGCACGAAAGTATAACGTTCTTTTATGCCGGTTTTCCACTAGCGAATTTTTTCGTGCGAAACGACATTTATATGGTTAAAATTTAAAAGACTTTATCATAAGGTGATAAGTAATTTTACATAAGTTCCAGCTGACTGAGCAGAGAGCTCATAAGCCAAAAGAATATATAGTCTGTTCGCGCGACAAAATTCACTTTAGCTTCTATAATCTCTAGACTATATTACCTTTGTCCAAATATCGTTGTATTCTACCATCATAAATATCTATATCTTGGACTATTTTCTCCTTTATCTTTTATCTTTACGTAAATAATATTATATTATATTATATTATGATTTATGTATTTATATGTATGTATTTTTATGTATGAACGTTTCCCTGCAATAAATATATGTCGTTATATAAAAGTTGTATGAGTGCATTAATTGCTTGAATAAATTCACGTTTCATGAACGTTGTGAAAACGTTCTTTCTTACGTTGTCTTATTACGTTGTGACAACGTCCTCTGGAGTCGACAAAATCACGTCCAGCGCACGTAAACTCACAACGTTTTTTTCACGTATAAGCGGAACGTTCTAAAAACGTTGTGAGGAAGTTCTTTTTACGCTACTGACAACGTTGTGACAACATCCTCTGGAGTCGACAAAAACACGTCCAGCGCACGTAAAGAGACAACGTTTTACCAACGTAAGCTGCACGTTCTAAAAACGTTGTGAGGACGTTTTTGTGCTAGCTGGGTAGTAGATATTTTTACACTGAATCGAATGGTGGCATTTTCATCACCGAACCGCAGATATGAACCCAGGGGCGGATCTAGGGGTCGTCAAACCAGTCACGCGACTAACGTAAAAATCGCAAACTTAATTAAAGTCTTAAATATTTGACCAATAGTCCAGTATTTTTTATCATGCAGCGACACCTTATATTAGTCCAGTATCTATTATCATGCAGCGCTAGCAATTAACATTCCAATCGAACTGTAGTCCAGTGATCAAATTTCAAACAGTGGTTGAGCCGACGAGCTTAGTCAAGTCAATGAGCAGCTGACATACGCAAAGTCGGTCAGTCAAAAAGTCAAAATCCAGTGCTCTGATTGGTCTAGACTCTTATTGCCATGGAAACAAGCGATTTTTTGCGATTTTGACTGATCTGTGGGGAGTTCTGACCGATTTACAAAAGTCAGGGGCGCCCCATTAGTCGGAATATCATTAATATTTGACGCGTGGTAAAGTCTTTCCGAGCGCGCGCTCATTCGAAGTGTCATGTTGGAGCTTTGTCGAAAGATTCAATTTAAAGATATCTACGGAAAATTCGGAAATGTCTGCTGCTCCAAACTCCAGTCCTTGTAGTATTTACGAAACGGTTCAATCCGCATTTGCGGTGAATGATTTAGCTGTCTTACAAGACTGTTGCGCTGATCTTGGGAGGAAAATCAACACTAAATATCAGAGAGTTCCATTCAGTGAGCAGTTGCTAAGCGGCGAACTACAGTTTGACGGTTTGAGTAGAAGTATTGGCGCCGAGATCTTTATTCAGAAGTGCAATAAGGTAAATTTAATGTGATATGTAAATTTTATTTCGTTTTAGACAGCATAACAATATTTATAAGCGAACAAGATGAGCGCCATGCATATGTAAATTGTAACTTGAATACGCGAATCTTGATTTAGATTTAGCTACGAATTTTTATTTACACAACAAATTTGCATATTTGTAATTCTGCGGTTGAAGGACCGTCAGAACTCAGAAGGCTATTAATATGGAGGATAACCTATATAAATGCATTAATGCAGTATACATAGGATATAAAGGTCAGGTTTTATAGATGATTAATGTTGATATATGTTTATTTGAGTAATATGACACTGTAGTGATTACTAGTCAAGTGATCAATGACTCAACAAGGCTATTAGGCAACAAAAATGAGTGTAGTACTATCATGAGATAGTTAAACATAATACTAGCAATCCGTAATTTGATAAAATGAAACATCTTCCACAATTATCACATTTCTGCAAGTACTTCCCCTTTACTTTTCCCTAAGGAGTTGTGAGAGTCAGTCAGATTGATAGTTGCTATAATTATCTCCCATTTCATAAAGTTAATTTTTTGTTGAAGCTGCTTTCAGAGTGATGCAAATTGCGTTTCTGAGGTTTAAATATATAAAAATTCCTGGGGGACAGACCCCCCCCCCCCAGGTGCCTCGCGCATTCGCCGCTCGCAAAACTCGATTGTACATCCGAAAACTTTGACTAACGTACGAAAAATCCTGGATCCGCCCCTGTATGAACCTGCAGAAAGGTAAGCTATTATTGACCTAGTTTTAGTGGGGTCTGTCGCCCAGGATTAATAAACAGTACTGACAGTGTTGTAATATGATATTGATTGATTGTACTGTACATCAAGGTGCTGTACATTTATACCGATTTGATTTGATTTATTTTTACATGTTGCTTTACATTTTCTCAGAGTTTCAAACTATTTCAGCCTTCATGAACACATCACTATTAACATATGATAACAGAGAGTAGAAATTAAATGCTTAGAAAGATATCATTCTGTTTTCTATATGCTGTACATATGTCATTTCGATTTTCTCTTTGTCATTTGTTCCTTACAGCAGTTACTGTTCTGTTACACAAAGGTGAAACCATATGTCACTTGGACCTGGGAAAAAGCAAACTTGAATTTCATGGAAATATCTACAGTCATGTCATCAATCGCATAACAAGCAATCATCGAGATGGCCTCCAGATTATATTTGACGGTGACTAACATGAAAATTTTTAAATGGAAATTAGTCGATCACATACTATTTTCCTAATGCTAGATGATTTTGAGTTATAATCTTGGAATCTTAGAAGATTTTCATGCTCCCTGCATTCAGCAGTAGTTATTTAACTAGTCTGATTTAAACCGTTCTATGCCTGTATCATGTTAAATAGCTTTGTTTGCCTGTCACCTAGCTAGCTTCCTTTCAACAAAGATAATTGACTTTTGTATTTTGTTTCTTTAATAACACACTTACAATGGTCAAAATTACAGGTTAATATTTATATTGTTATTTCTAATGACAATTTACTTGGGTATATCGATCACACTTCTCTGTTACTATTAAACTTACTACAATCATGCAAGTAAAATCTCTTGGGAAAAATAAATGTTGTCCAGGACGGTCATAAAATATAAGCCAGTAAAACTAATGAATATACCTATAATTATGTACATTTGACTATCATATAATATGTTCTAATTTTTTCAAATTAAATAAATCAAATTGCTCGAACTTAATCAAAACGTACGCAGTTACTATGATTCAAATATCCAAAAGTGTGCGTTTTACTTCAGTCAAGTGAGAGCCTCTCCTTATAGACACCTCCCTAAAACTTTACTGTGCTATACCAATGTTCATTCAAAGAGATCCAACTTACATCTGAGCTTGTGATGATATTATAGCAAATTATTGGAACTGGGAGTATATTAAATAAGTTGTTCATTGAGTCAAGACATTGAGGTTGTGTTGATCATCATGTCAAGCTCCATTACATATTGTGCCTTAACAACATACATACAATTTCAAAAGTATTTGCAGCATATTGGGCTATTCCATTCAACATACCCGCCATTAAGGTCCCTTCATAATCCCCTCATATATATATATATATATATATATATATATATATATATATATATATATATATATATATATATATATATATATATTATATATATATATATATATATACATATATATATATATATATATATATATATATATATATATATATATATATATATATATATATATATATATAAATTCAATTAAGGTACAACAATCAACAAAATCCACTAGGCATGTTTATTACTAAATAGTTTCGCACCACAAAATGTGGCACTCTTCAGATAAATTGACCTAAGATTAGGTCAATTTATCTGAAGAGTGCCACATTTTGTGGTACGAAACTATTTAGTAATAAAGATGCCTAGTAAATTTTGTTGATTGTTGGTTTTCCTCTGGTTTTCCATTGAGCACTTTACCAAAAGTTTTTATAACCAACGAAACCAAATCTTATATATATATATATATATATCTGAGTTTCACGATCAATGCGATCTTCAGGCGACAATGTTTAAATCTCAATAAAAAAATTCCTGTATGATTACGTGCGAGTTCGTTAGGCTACTTGCGTGATGGTATTGCGTGCGCACGTTCAAATTTTCCCGCCAAGAATTGTTTCCGGTGGCAACACTTCGAGAATAGCTCACATCTCCTGTTCAGCAATCTTTTCTTATCACCTTTCAAAATTTCGAGTTTCTCTTGGAGGCATAGGTTGCAAATTTTTGCGCCGCTGCGATAAGATGATGCTTGCTTCAGAATGGATCACTTGATGTTGAATGTACGTTTCTTGTTTTTCAAGTTCCAAATGTGTTTGGACAGCTCAGTGGATTTTACATAGCTTGTATCTTTGAATGATGTCTTGTGGTTGTAATAACGTTTCTTGAACGTGTTTGATGTCATCCCAATATAATCTCGAATTACTCCGGTGTCGTCCGTAACCTCGGCTTTATAAACAACGCTCTTTGTAAGGCAATTATTGTTTAAGGGACATATATATATATATATAAATGTTGGAACCCTCGTGGATGCAAATTACCTATGGATATTTTTCTATCCCTGTAGAATATTGTTTTGTGCCCCTTTCGAAATCACTAAAACAGCTAATATTTGCTATTTTTGGGAAATCTGTTGAGCTATACCTTCTACAAAAAATTAAGGTAAAAACCTCCTCTCCCCCATAGGATATCCAGACCTCAACAGGGCTAGGGGCTATTTACTCGCTGGGGCACCCTGTGCCCCAGACGAGTATAGGTTTCGGCTTGCATTTTACACGGATCGGCAATAGTGAATCGTCGATAGCCACAAAATAGAATATTAACGAGCTGCTTGATCCTTTTCAAAATGGCGGGGACTTTCGTGGAGTGGGCAAAATGTTTCAAACAACTTCGTGAAAATTTTGAATCAATTGTACCTGTTTTCTATGGATTTTGCATTGTGTCTAACTCTGGACATTCTTGTTAGTTTATTTAATGCGTTTTTCTTGGTGCACGACTCTGAAAATCCGAAATTTGGATCGTTAAATAGTTTCCTGTGCACAATCATAATATTCTGAATCTGAATATAAACAAGCCAAAGAAAATTTTAAGGTAAAAGGTTATAACTTAGACTGCACAATATAGTTTTAATAAATAACTAGTTTATGAGAAGCATATTGGTGTCATATCAATATGAAATTTATCGAACAACAGTCCGTAAAAACTGCAGTGCACTCAGTGTGAAATATGATATTGTATTTGTAATGCCTATTAATGGCACAATAAGAATAAAAATACCACCGTTCGATTCAGCGTAAGAAATTGTACTTACGGATGCCAAATGTATTACTAAACAACAGTATTCTAGCGATTTATGGCCTTTGAAAATCAAGCGAAATGACATATCGCTCGCAGTACGGTATTGTTGACAAATCACTCGCAGTACGTTTGTCCCGATCTTGTATTTGTAATGCCCAATGGCGCAATAAGGATAAAAATACCACCGTTCGATTCAGCGTTTAAAGAAATTGTACTTATACGAATGAGAAATTGTACCTACGGATGTCAAATGTATTACTAAACAACTGACAACAGTATTCTACCGATTTATGGCCTTTGTCTTTGAAAGCCAAGTAGTCTAGGACCTGCATATGAGTTTGTATGCGATTCATTTAGGACAGGTAATCTCAAATGTTTTAGGGTAAAATGACCATGGCGGTCAACATGGCATATGTGCGAAAACCTGAATCCGGGGCGAAAGTCC